GTACAGGAGAGACATCGAGCTGTTGGAGTGAGTCCAGAGGAGGGCCACGAAGCTGATCAGAGGGCTGGAGCACCTCTCCTGTGAGGACAGGCTGAGAGAGTTGGGGTTGTTCAGCCTGGAGAAAAGGCGGCTCCGGGGAGATCTAATTGCGGCTTACCAGCATCTGAAGGGGCCTACAGGAAAGCTGGTGAGGGACTGTTTATCAGGGAGTGTAGTGACAGGACAAGGGGTAAGGGGTTTAAGCTGAAGGAGATTCAATTTAGATTAGATGTGAGAAAGATGCTAGAAAGAAATTCTTTACTGTTAGAGTGGTGAGGCACTGGAACAGGTTGCCCAGAGAGGTTGTGGATGCCCCATCCCTGGAAGTGTTTAAGACCAGGTTGGATGGGGCTTTGGGCAACGTGGTCTAGTGGAGGGTGTCTCTGCCCGCAGCAGGGGGGTTGGAACTAGATGATCTTTGAGGTCCCTTCCAACCCAAACCATTCTATGATTCTATGATTAAGTACCTTGGAGGGCAGGAAATGAGACATCATGCAGAATGCAGTATCTATATAATTTGATTACACTCAGACACTGGCTACCAGGAAAACTGCTAAAATCATACATTATACTCAAACCTTAACACAAGTATAGGAAGCATTTTCTTAATGTTGCAAAAAGTATTGCTGTACTGTATAAGAAAATCAGAGATTCTCTCACATGGAACATCCTGAGTTTCCAACACAGTGGATATATTTGTTATCAATTTGTAAATGGTGTCAGTAGTAGGTGTCGAAAATTATGCTGGTCATAGGGTGCTGTGAATTAAATCGGCTTGTAGAAGACCAGGAGAAACTTCAGAGGTTTTTGAACTTAAGAAAATGAACAGTTAACATAGTAGCAGAAGAAAATTACCCTTGACCAAATGCAAGGCAATAAACAGTGGGAGGTACTAAACAAAGCATTCACATATATTTTTGAATGGTAAATTAACTAAAAATGACTGATGTTGCATGCATGGACATTTCACACAGTGAATGTGTATTTGAAGAAAAAGTGAGAAGAGAAAAAAGCAAACAATCATGGATTTATAACATTATCTTTGTAATACAGAATGGCAACAGAAAAAATAAATTTTTGTAGGCATGGAAAAATAGTAATTTTGTATATATTCAAGTCCTTTACTTTCAAATGGACTATAATTTTCATCCCATCTATATCATGCTCAAAAAGATCTAGCAAAAGCAGGCACCAAAAGACTAGGAATTTTGGAGCCCAGCACATGGAAAAAAGATGGACGAATTGCACTACTGAGTAGAAAACCAATAAATGAACGAACCAAAATACAGAAAGGTATGCATTATATAACTTGTTTCCACTTCCCTTAAGAATAAACCTGAGTCACTTTGGCACCAACTTGTTTGCTAACATTATTTTTTCATGTCATATCATCTTCTATATGCTCCGGCTAAAGGATATAATAGTAGGAAAATGTTAAACAGAGCCTGGAAAGGACCAAACAACAGTTAACATCTGAAACAGTAGTGCTAACTTCCAAATAATTTACAACAGCTAAACTGCAATGCTAAGATAGAGGGATTGAAAGCAATGAAGTACAAACAATGAATGAGGAGATTGAGGAGTAGTACTAAAGGAAAAAGTTGCCTGGTGAAGTTCTGAACAGCTCCATAAGCTACACTAAAAGGCAAACCAAAACTTTACTGACTTTGCTAGTGTTATTTACTGAGGTTATATCACAGTACATAACCACAGAGTGCCTAACTGCTTTCAATTTCTTTTCCCATTTTGTAATTAACAGAATCAAAGAGCAAGATAACACAAAGATATCAGAACAGCACAGAGATTACCAAAGCAAGAAAGGAGTCAGTCTTGGGCCAAACCTCTATCAGTCATTAGTTTTATACGGTTCTGAAAAATCTTCTGGGACATAAACTATAAGATATAGCAAAAGCCACTGGAAGTTGTCAGAAGATCTGTTATTTTTCTGTTCAAAAGCCTGTCCAGACAAGGACTGGAAGACACTAGCTCTTCACACAGACTACTGGATTATCCTCGGGTCTCTCTCAGAGCTCATGCTTTGTGACAAGGAGACTCTGATGGCTGGGAAAGATCTAGTAAGGAGATGTTCACAAACAGCTAAAAAAAAAATTCAGAAGCAAAGAGGACTGAGGTGCTAGAAGAGATCACCGGTATAGTAAATTTATTAGAAATTTAGCATTTTTTCTGACAATCCTTTCTCTCCCAGTGTACCTACCCTTGGCAGGTGGGACGGGGATATGGGAAGCAGGGCTATCTCAGACCACATTTCCCTGTTCCCTCATCAATCCACCAAGGTCCCCTCCACCATTTCCTTGTTTTTAGCTTTTCAGACCAATAAAGGTTCTGATGCTCAACAACAACTGACCAATATATGACCTGGTGAGACTACTGTACTAAAGGAGTCTCAAAATACCCAACTCTATCTCCTCTTTCTGCCCTAGTGGAAACAAAACCCAACAATATGACATAATCATATACTTAAAATAAAGAAACAAAAAATATAAGCTGTCCAAGATACCGATTTTACCTGGGGAGACACTAAATGCAAAAAACAGAAAAAGCAGAAGCCTACAGGACTCTGTAGCACTGAGTGGAACCTAAATGCCACAAAACAGTTAAAGGTTTGGGCACAGATATCAAATCTGTTTTCTTTTCAGTCACTGATGAATTCAAATGGTAAAAAAAAGTTCGTTTAGTATATACACAGAGAAGAAACATTCTAGCTCATGTGGGTTTTTATGTCTACCGTGTTTTTAGATAAAAGCAGTCAAGAAAATTTATGAAATGGACCAAAAATGATGTAATAAACATTGTAATAACTGCGATTCACCTGCTAAAACTTCCTATTAAACTTGTAGGCAAACAAATCAACAGGGGTACTAAATTTTCACACACTATCATGTTAAATCTTACATTACAACAAATTATTCATTCTTCTTTACTTATATATTATTAGTTGTGACCATTTATCAATTACAGATCTCTTCTCTTGCTTCCTATCACATTTGATTTTCTGTTCTGATCCATTTTACGTGCAGGAAAGCCTGACTGTAAGAAGCTGATGTAAAGCCACCAGCACTTCAGGAAAATAGATGGCATTTATGTTGCTACAATATGTTCCACAATATAAAAACATACAGGAGAAATGAATACAGAAACTTTTCATGTTTTTCAATCAGCACATATAGTACTGTTTATAAAACTGTATTTGTTTGCACTTTTCTCCAACAGATTTATAGACAGAATCATACTGCAATGTCATATTGCAGTTTATTACAACTACAGCTCCAAAACGAAAACAAAAGCCCAAAGCAAAACAAACAGAAAAACCCAAACACATTGTAAGTTTTGTTTACCGATTTTGAGTAGGAAGAATTGTCATCACCCATAAGAACAAAGCATCCCCAACTAGGAATATTAGATGTATACATATGTTTAAAAACTACACAGCAGAAATCCTCACATCTCCACACCTGCAAAAATTCAACTACTTTCATGCCAGCAAGCGTGAAACACTCTTCTTTAAATGATAGCTAAAACCTCTTTATTCAATATCCCAGATGGATCATCACTGTTGTAGCTTCTGTGAATCAGATGAAAACTTGACACCACAGGCATCTCAGTGACAGTATGAACAAACACTCTTTACAACATCTCATATTAAAGACTTCCAATAGCTCCCTAACATAAAGGTCATCTATTCATTCTATTTCTAGTCACAATCAAATCAAGCAAAGACAATTCTTCTGTATTAACATTCATGACACTTTCTGAAAAAAAATTTGCTTTCGTTTATGAATGTATATATAAAAGCACTCCCTCTCCAACAGATTTTGAAAGCATTTAGCGTTCAACACTAGCCAAATATGTGTATAATAAAACTATTTTAGCAGTTACTACTTTAAAATATGACTGAATTTACACCATGTGCATAAAGTCTTCGGAGTTCATTTAGAATAACTTTCACAGGCACACCAACTACAGGTACATTATATAACTAATCAGTCAAATAAGATAATTTTATCAAGACTGGCAGTTGATGAGTCAACTATCCCAACAAAAGTCTACTTATCAACTAAACGTTTTTTGAAACATCCAGGATAAATATAAGTATTTTTTAATTGGAACAGAACAGAGGTGAGCAAAGCACTTGGAGGAAATGTGGAAAGCTCTAAAGTTATCCCTAGAATAATATAAATCACTAGTTTTGAGTCAGAGTGGAATTTCTTAATACACTGTATCCTAGCTCCAGCAAGGAAGGTGCATATGAGAAACAGTCAATATACAGCAATAGGATCACAATATTCAGCAACCTGCAACTTAAAGACTTCTTGAATTTTTTAGGAATTTAGGATTTTTGCCTTATGTTACCATTATTTTGATTTTTTTTTAATAATTTAGATGTTTTTAAAAATTCTAAACATATCTAATGTGCAACGTATAACAAATAGAACAAGGTTTTTTCAAACCAATTTAATACACAGACTATTAGCAGACATCTGAAAATCCAAATCATCAATCATCAATTCATAGCTCAAAGAGGTCTTGACAAAGTGCAAGCCAATCCCACAAACTAGGGCTATTCTGAACTAAGATAGTAGAAAGAAGTGAGCAGCAGACGAAACAAGTCATAGATAATTCTCTGTAATAAAGAGCATAACACACCTCCTTCCAAGATGCTTTACAAGTAACTATAGGAAATAAAAGCCATCAGTCTGTTACCTTCATCCTGTGTATACATATGCAAGACTATATTTAGAAAAACATACTTGTAATACAGACTGCAAACTGTATGTTCAGTGAAATATAAAAATGTTTTTCACAAGCAAAACAGTCTCACTAGTGAATGTACTCTACGTATTATTTACAGTAAAACAGCAATAGCTTCTCCAAGCTTTTGATATTTCATTATTAATTACCTTCCAATCATTGAAAAACTAAGTTATTACCACCGGACTTACCCATAATGGTTAAAGCTGTGGCTTTTGTTAAGTCTTCTTTCATTGACTCTATTATTTCAAGATTACCACCATCCAAGTTGCATCTATTTATGGTTCCATTTCCTGAACTGATCCAGTAAAGTTTGTTCTCCCCATAATCTATCGATAAACCTGTAATTAATGTATACAACTTTAACTGTGGCTTCAATACATAATATACATTTAGTGATAAGCTGTTTTCACAATAAAAGAAATACATATATACACACACAATTATGTTATCTATCCACTCATACTTTAAAAAAAAAAAAAAAACAATTGAGAAAACCAAACAAAGGTGGCCATGTATGGTGAAAAAACACACGCTTTAAAAAAGATTTCTGCCTTTTATTTGTCCCAACATCTACAGAAATCAATCAGTGACTGATCTATGAAAGAGTATTATCTGGCAATGAACAATTACTTGAATAAACTGAGGTTCTAAGCGAGGTCATTAACTATTAGGAAATACGAACCGGAAGCCATCATTTATATTCTAAAATTATGAATACATAAAACCTTAGAAAACAAGCTACTTTTTGTGATTCAGAACTATAAAAAGTCTGTTTTCTTCCTACATGCACAGCCCTCTGCTTAGAATACTGAAATACCAAACCCTAATACTAGTTCTTAATAAATTTATAGTATTAATTTTAATTTTGCTTCATTGTGAAGTGAATTCAGGATCAGTTCTTTGGAGTTACAAGCAAGAGAACTGTAGAAAAAAATACTTGCAAAAATAACCTACTAAACAAACAAAGCATGTAATTTTCTGGAAGTAAGAATAAAGAACTAAGAGATAATACATTTCAGACTTCTATAAGCCTTTAAAAATGTTCAAGTAATTGTAGCAGGATATTTTCCACAGTGAAATACGCTTGGCATGGTGACAATACATGCCAAAATAATTTGCTTTGGTACTAGACTTTTTCCCAGAATTCATGTTAGGTATCCAGCAGCAAGTTGCCAAAAAAATACTGTATTTCACTCCATAGGGCAACCTCTTGATATTGTACAGTACTCTTCTTCCACCCTGGAAACCGCTTCTCTGTGGAAAGCCAGATCTATTCTCAAAACCCTGACAGGAGAAAGCAGCACCACGTGCTGCGGTACTTACCCTGGCATCATGCCGCTACTTCTTTACGCACATTTGACATAGCAGGCCAAAAGGTGTCTGCTTTCTAAGCTTTTCTAAAACAGCTTTCCAGCTCCTTTGCAGTTACCAATATTTTTCCACTCTCTGCAAGTGTATCACCCGGAAGAGAAACTACTACCAAACTTGGGAGAGGATAAGGATACTGAGTAGTTGCTTCAGGAGAGATGGACCTTGCGGCAACTCTCTGCACATACGTGTTCTCACGCTTGTACAACAAGCACTGCTCAAAGTGAAAAGACAGTGCCACAGACCTCGATGACAAGCAGCACTTGCAGTACCTAGGCCTAGCACAGGAAACTTTCCGGGGAATGTGGATGATCCTTGCTATGGGTTACAAAGGTAATACGCAAGTATAAAGGTTTCCTTACTCTGAGATGGATAGCACTTGCTATTCCCTGTAACTCCTGACTGCTACCAGTCAGCTGCTCACTGATTTCACCTAGACAGATCTATTTATGGGTTGCTGTGAATGCAATCTACACAGCAATTACAATGTTATCTTGTCAGGTTTTCTACTTCTTCAGATATTAAACTGGTGTTTCTACACATGGGTATTCCAATTACACAGCAGCAACCGAGAGAAATAAAATTCCTATCTCCTTCTCCCCTAGTCTATCACATTTTTCTTCCCAAAGTATTTTCCTGTTGTGTTATTCCAATTACCAAGCTTTATGAAAACATATAATCTCTAATGTAGACAGAGCGTGTTTATTTGAATTTTTCAGGAACTGTCCTGTTTTCACTAATGAAAATAGGTGACTTATTAGCCGTATCACAGACATTCAGGATGCGTTCTAGTGTAGGTGACTGGCTTGCACCTTATGTCCCAGCTGTATTAGTTAAAATATATGTGTGCTCTTAAAAAACAGTGAGGTAAAAGATTAAAAATTTTCTCCACAGTGTCATAGCGTAATTCCTTTTTTTGACAGAGGTCTTAAAGCAACTTCTTCTAATCCTAGCTTCCTGAATTGCAGTTGGAAGGAATCTAGGAAAGACTTGATATACGTTGGGAGTGTGCTGCTTGCTGCTACACTGCATGTCAGAAACACATCCTGTAGTCAGAATTTCAGTCGACACACACTAGATGGCATGTGAAAATAAAACCAAAACCATGTTTTCTTGACAACTTTTTCCACATACCCTCTGCTTAGGGCATTTCCAATGAGCTGCGTTCTTGTAGGATGGCCCACCAGTTTTGAAATGGGTGAGCATTTCAAGAAACCAAATCTTCTCTTCAGGTACTTCTATTACTTTTGTCTTTTGGGGAATTAAGTAGTAATGCTTTCTTTACCTTCTTCTACAGTTTGTCAGTTTTTTCAATGTCTTTTGGTATTCAGAACTTAATGTAGGTCAGTGTTCTCACTTTGGGGAGTGAGTGAGTTTGGTTTTTGTTTTCTGTTTGTTTCCCTCCTCCCAAATAGACAACTCAAGTTTTAAAAATTTGTTAACTTGTGATTTAAATATAGATGGCAGATCACAGAATCATTTTGGTTGGATCTTTAGATCATCCCAGATCCTCCACTGTGGCACAACAAAGGAGAAAAAGCATAACTAAAAAAAAAGATATGTGAACCATTGCTCTACTCAGGAGCTAGAACACATCCCACAAAGGGACTGAACAACACTAAAATATTCAGATGATCCATCACATCTTTCAAGTTATTTTTGCCCAATATATACAATAAAAATTATTTCTCCAACAAAAAAATTAAAAAGTAGACAGTACTATTGTTTCTAAGTTTGTTGTTGGGTGTTTTGGTTTTTTTTAACAGTTTTTCAGTCAAAACTACTGAAGGGTTTCAAATACTTGATAAAAACGCACATTGATAAAATGGATGTTCAGTTGTTTTGGTAAGATTATGATGGAATTCTATTTCAAGTATATTCCACATACATACTAAAAGACTCCTTCCATCAAACTTAGGTTACTTAAAATCCTAAAATAAATTTTATTACAAGTAATCCTGTACTTGTATATAATGATAAATCACATCCCCAAAGTTTTCAAACTCTTACGCCTAATAATCTTATTCTATAGCTCATGTATGTTCTTCCACCACACCGGAAGAGGTTTCGGAAAAATACTGTGTCCATCAAAAATATTGAACAAACTTCTGTCTGATGATTTAGATCCGGCTTACTTGTTTCAGTTTCTTGTGTTTCCTTTTCTAGTGATACCTGCCATTTCGCACTTGCCCTAGATTTCTGAGAAAAATATTCTTCCAATTAAAAGTATTCTTTCTGAAGACCATATACAGACACCGTGTATGATGAATTTGGACATCTGCTCCAGAGAATTTTAAATATCGGTCTCAGATAATTCTACTGTGTTTTTTTTAAAAAATATTACTATGACTTAGGCCATCACTGTTTTCATATGCATTTTCCAATTTCCTTACTCAAATTTCCAGAAATATGCTAATATTTAAAAAGTATATCACGAAAATTATTCCAGCAATTCATACCATATACGTAATGAAATCTTAGCTTCCACTACCAGAAAATCAAGTTTGGTATTTTAATTTGGTGCATCACTGAAGTTCAAGGAAATTACTCTTGATAGCATTTTTCATATACTTATTGTATGTTCCTCTAACTTTATTTTTACCTGTGGAAGTGTTCTCTAAAAAAAAGTAGAAGCTTAAGGAAATGGTGTGTTCCAAGAATATTAAAGATGGGATTAATTCATACTACCTAAATCAATTAAATGTTGGACACAGCTAGTACAGTTTAGATGAATTATACGAACAGTAGCTGGAATTTCTGTTCACATTTCCCACCTTAATGGCTTAAGAAAGGTTTTTTAACTGTTTATGGCTGATTAAATTTCAGGCGAAAAAGCAGTGCTTAAAATTAGGAAATTCTGAGGTTTGTTTTTCTGCTAAACACACATACATACTCAAGAAACAACTTTTTAAATAAAAAAAAAATGAAATAAAAATTTCAAGAGCCATTCTTAAAAAGATTTTTGGTTCATATCTGCAACAATTTTGTTTGTAGGCTATGCTATATATTCAAAAGAAAGAACAAATTAGCAAGAGAGAATCAAGTAGACAGTCAGCCAAGAAAATGAAACAAGAAAGCTAAAACAGCAATAGGGTTGTCCTATAACCACAAGCAAAACAGAAACACTAAGTTTGTTTAGAAGAAAGGATTGAACTCTATTAAAAAAAACCAAACAAAACAACCACAAAATACACCACCACCACCCCCCCCCCAAACCAAACCAAACCCAAACAACGCCTCCCACCCACCAACCTATAATTATGGAGTCCTTTGACTATAACTGAGAGAATGATCCAGTATGTTTTTAAAGGTTTTTTTATCCAAGCTATTTCAAAACTTACTAAGAATACAATACTCTACAATTTAATAATAGCCATTTCCTTAAAAACAATCCAATGGATGCATGGTTTGTATTTTTACAGTTTTACAACAAACAACTGCTTAAATGAAAAGAAGTTCAAGACATCAGTGATCAAATGATCTGCCTCACAAAGTATAAAAGTCAAATTAAACAGTAATTCTGAATCTCTGAAAATGCAGTTTAATGGAACTCAAGTCACTAGTTCCTTTTTCAACTGATCTATATCTGTCAGCATTTGAGTATTTTAGAACAGCAGAATGGACTAGCAAGTCATAAAATGAGACATAATCTGTTGTCCTAAGATTATCAGTTTCCAAAATCTCGAAACTAACTACTATTGGTGTTAACAGAAAATATTTTAATTGAAATTTTCTCCTTCTTTGATAGATCTCAAACTGAGAAAAAAGATAAATCCATCAGCATACTTCAGGTCACAGATTGGAAAACTTTCCCTCATTCTTCAAATTCTAAAATTATGTATCAAGAAAACTAAAACCCCCATCAGTTATCAGGACATCCAACTCTAATAAGTCATATATTTTTCTTTTCAGTAATCCACCTGTGAACTCACATTCACTGATGTGAGTTCACATAGATTCACTCATAGATCATTTGCCTCGCTCCTCAAATACTCAAAATTAGCCCTGCATGAACTAGAGCTTCACTTATGGAGACAGTTTCTCAGTTAGAAATAAAATATTAAATCAAGGATTTAAGACTGCTACACTCTGGCTCTTCACAGTGTTTTCTTGTTCTTAGCATGCAAATGCTTATGCTAATGGTAAGAATAATTCAAACCATTAAAACAGGCATTTTGCATATATTTGAATTTAGAGTTCAATATGGGAAATTTGATACTGCTTTTATCTATAGTGATTATTTTTCCTCAGACATGCAACAGAATCTGTTTTGATGTCCACCCTAACTGACAATAAAATTGAGCCAAGAGGTCTACCAACCAAACAGTTTTTCAGCAATCGACAGGTGCAAGCTTTATGTCCCTTTACATACATACGTATCTCTTTACATACTACATATTCTACACTTTACATACTTTACGATTTAGCATGCTTTCAGGCTGCTAAGAAGAAGGGAAAAACAATTAAATCTCTGTGGCTTTCTTATTATACAATAGGGCTCATTATCATGCAATAAGAACCTTCAATCTGGAATATAACCTATTTCAAGTAATTCTTATGAGGTCTCAAAGGTGTTAAAAATTAATCCAGTACTACAGAAAGAAAACAAATTGTCTCACTTCCAGTTCTGTGGTGAAGTAAAAAACTTAGGTCAGAATTCCTCACTCCTACAAGGCTTACAGGAATGTTTTACTGCATGAATAGTCCATCTGATACTAGTGAAAATGTACATGTCTATGAAGAAAAATGTCACAAAACCCACATGGATTTGCACATGTGGCATTTGACAGTACTGGTATACTTGCAGGGGTGAGGGGAAAAAAAAAGAAAAAGAAAAAAAAGGAAAAAGAAAAAAAGAAAAAAGAAAAAGAGAAAAAAAGAAAAAGAAAAAAGAGAAAAAAAGAGGAAAAAAGAGGAAAAAAGAGAAAAAAAGAGAAAAAAAGAGGAAAAAAGAGGAAAAAAGAGGAAAAAAGAGGAAAAAAGAGGAAAAAAGAGGAAAAAAGAAAAAAGAAAAAAGAAAAAAGAAAAAAGAAAAAAGAGAGTACTTACCATTCTACCATCAATTTCAGTGGCTTTAATGCTACTCAAACTCAATGACAGAAACCATGAGGACTGCAAGTTAGAACCTTGTGACCTATGATCACAGGATATTCAGTGCAAAACGTTGCACGCACCCTTACTTCTTAATATTGTCCTAATATTATTAAATGTGTTCATGCTTCACCTTAAAATTAGATGGTTTACCACCTGTTTTTCTCCAGAAAACTGTCTCTTCAAATGGATAGATAGAAAATCAAATCAACAACAAAAAAATGCATGCTGTGTTGCTCTACTGTCAAATTTATTGAAATATTTAACTATTTAAGAAATTTTTGCTTCTGCTTGCTTAATATATTCAGTTATGAAAACCCATAAATGCTTTAAAATGTAATCATGTTATTGATGGGCCATTAATAAGGCAACAACAATTGACGTAACCACTTTAACTCTCTAAAAAATAAAATTATAAAAAGAAATAGACCTGAACCAAAAAAATAATATAGAGAGGTTTTGGGTTTTTTCCCCCAGAAAAGTGACGTTAATTAATAATCAATTATATTAAATCTGAAATACTAAAACTGAGGTTAAATCATTATATGAAATATATGCTTCAACTGTTTCCATTTTCTTTACCTGAAAAGAATGGTTAAGAGGCAAATCTTTTGATCACGCAGCTGAGATTCTGGTGGGGAAGGTTCTACATTTCCAGTCAAAGTAGCCTCTCACATAGATCCATACCTTATTAAAACCCTGCTTGATACATTTTTTCAACCATGATCTAAAGTTTGAGAGATATAGATAGGTTCTCTTTCACCTTCAGTCTCCACAACTACTGTAATTTTAGAAGTTAGCAATACTATACTTAACCCACTACAGTGGATTTCAATTACAATGGGCCAAAAACATCATAAATTGTGAAACACAGTGTTTTTCATGTATTTATGCCTGTTCTTATTGCTGCTATATAGAATATGAAAAACATTACGGTATACTTAAATAGCATCTCAACATAAGCACCATCAAATAAAAAAGAAACAGGAAAAAAGGTATTTACCAACAGGATCTTTTTGATTCTGAAAGAGTATTTTGCTGTTGCTGCCATCCATGTTTGCCATGTTAATTGTGTTACCATCCGTCCAGTAGAGCTTACTGAAGAAGAAAATGAAAATATATATAATGTTGCTTTGTGGACAGGGTATTTTTAATGCATCTGTAGTGAAAACATTCGTAAATTTAGAAGGAGGTAAAATATACAACTACTGATTTTACATGATTTAATCAAGAGTAAGCTTTTGTAGGGAAGCAGTACTCAGTCAAGAAATTCTCAGCAAAATCTTTCAAACACATGCATTTACTTTAAGTTTAAAAGAAAACAGAATGAGCAAACTCAAAATCTGAACAAAGAAGAAATCTGATGTGCTTTACCATAGTTTATTTATTAAAACTACAGATACCTTACCCTTTTACTGGGTGAACTGCAAGACACTGGGGTTTATCAATTCCATGGATGATTGAAGTTTTCAAGGAACCGTCTAAATGTGCCACATTAATTTGTGTTTCATCAAATTCTGAGCTAATCCAATATAAATTACGTGATATCCAATCCACTGCAAGACCTCTGATACTCTGAATATCTGCAAAAAAGTGAAAGCAGTTGTTCTTTTGATTTTCTTTCTGGATTATTCTCAGTCTTGGAGAAAAAGAAAAAAAACCACCCAGCTTCTACAGTTTGTTAACAATATTGTGCAAGATTCTATTCAGATGTATTTATAAACTAGTTGCCAAGAATTAATAATAATAATTTTTCTTGTTGGGCCTGATACACTTGCAATAAGAACATGGAAATTGCACTGAAGATTTGAGAAATCCTCCATAAATATTTCTTTAAAATTTAGCATAAAACCTACTATCCAAAAATAATAATCAGACAGATGCTGAAGTTTTGCAGCAGAAGAAGCATTTATGACTCAGTGCACTATTAAAAAGTGTGGTTTGTTGTGGTTTTCTTAAGAGATGATGATGCAGAATGAGTTAGCCTCCACTAGGAAGTTCAACGATCATATTTAATAAACATAAACTTTACTCATGATGTAAAAGGAAGGTTCCTATTTCTTTAGTTGCCAGTTATACTTTACATATAGAACATTAAGTGGCTTTCTATAATGAAACTATGCTGAAGTTTAAAAACCTGCTTCCTTTTTTAGCACCAGGAAGGCTCAGTGCAGAATATCTGAATTAAAACCACTGGTCTATAGCATAGTTCTATAGCACGTAAGTAGGTAAGTAGCTACAAGTTTTTCGGTTTTATTTTGGAAGACTTTGAAGACCCTAACTTACTCCCCTGCTTTCCTGGGAATGGCTAAATAGCTGTCAGCTGATGGGAAGTACAGAATGAATTCTTTATTTTGCTTTGCATCTGCATGCAGCTTTTGCTTTTCCTATTAAACTATCTTTATTTCAACACATACATTTTCTCACTTGTACCCTTCTGATTCTCTTCCTCATCCCACTGTGGGGAGCGAGTGAGCAGCTCTGTTGGGCTTAGCTGCCTTCTGTGTTTAACCCACACCACCAGTATTACCCTGAGGTAGCAACACTTGAGTAAGAGTTGATTAATTTGGTAGCTCCACAAATGTCTTTGTATGTGATAGTCTTCCTTAGCAAGGTATTGTTTTAAAAAAATGTTAATATCTGCCTTAAATGCTGCTCAAGATCTAGATACCAACATGCTGCTCTGCCTCGGCACAGCAATGGTTCGTATTGGCCAGCATCTTTGTAGACAAGTAAACAGGCCAAGGGTGATTTAATGATTTCATTATAAGTGCATAGTTTGTACACTATCTCTTTGTCAACTTAACATGGTTACTTCCACAGACAGAATTATTGTCATTGACAAACTAACATGGATATGACTGTGGACTGGCTTGCATATACATAAGGTCAAACGGTGATTGAGCATTAGGAAGTTTGCCAACTTTAGAGAATGCAACAAAGGACACCAAATACATAGCCTTGACCCATTTTAAAACCGTCCCTTGCCTTTTTAGTTTTTTTTGGTTGAAGGAAATAGAAAACAAGTATTTCATACTCTTAACAAGATTAAAGTATGACTTTGGCATCTTTATGACATTGACATAAGACTTCATCCTATGAGAATCCCATTAGTATGTGCTTACAAAGCTTCTTATGTTCTTATATATATAAAAATATAACTGTAAGCAAACAAGATCATTTACACATAATAAGTAGTCCTTATAATGTTTTGATGTGCTAGAACATGGCAAATTTTGCAAATTTTATATATAATAAGTTACATCTGGCACAAAAACTCCCCCCAAAAAACTCTACCACAAAAGCTATTACAACAAAAAAGAATATGAAAGAATGCACGATTAACAGAAACACTCACATATACTATGTTTCTTTAAGTTTCATTAAGTTTCCTTTCAAGTTTTGTTATTTTTCATTATGTATTTTATACAGTAAAACAATGTTTTTATTCTACTACCATTAAAAAACAAACAACAACTCTTTCTCTTTTGGGCACCTCAATTCATGATGCAAATCGGAGCTTTAAGATGAACTCTAAATCTTGTTCTCATTACTGGTTCTGAAAAATGTCTCCAATAAAATTGTCTCTGAGATAGTAGGGGAAATATAAAGATACCCACACAAAATAAATTACTTTATCAATCTACCTAGTCAAGTGGGGTATTGCCATATTTGTCCAATGATTTCCCAAAATATGCTAATACAGAACAAAATACTTCTAAAGCAACACCTGGGACAAAGCTTTAATTCATTTTCTGGAATCCCAAAATAATCAACTAAAGGCTTTCAGGTTTTTTTATTTGTTCTCAAAAATCAGAAAAGGTCTGATCTTACAGAAGTGAGTTATTTCTTTTCTCCTCTTCCCCTTCAAACATATATATAACAGCTGACGAACCAGAGTTTGCAGAATTTGCCTCCAGATAGTCCCTGTCAGACAGTTTTCCTATTTTCAAGCAGGTAGCTACATTACAAAACAGAAGAACATCATGTGCTGGCAGGAGAGGAACTGAAAGTAGTTCGAAAAAAAACCCCAACCAACCAAACCCCCACCACTAGCAAGGACAACAAATGGAATCACTTTAATACCGCAGCTACTGACATAAGGTTAAAGCAATCAGGTCTAAACTTTACAATCCATTAAGTTTCTGTATTCAAAGTATAGAGCAAAAGTATCAGAACAATGAAGATGTTAACTGCAGAAAAACCTGCTAGTCATGATTTTCCATTTGCAATATTTTAAGTTTCCTTTTATTGCTGTAAGTAACCTACCTATAATGAAAAAGCTCAGCAAAAAGGAAAACCTAAATTGTAATACTCCCTCACAGCATTCAAGTACTGAAACAGCGTGAGGGCAATCAGTTTGAGCACGACACATGTTGCAAGATGACAACAGGCAAATGCATAACATCAGTATTACCAAAATTACAAAGCTGCCACAACACTGCCGTATCGTGTGTTTCACCAATGGTGCCAAAGCCAAAACATCTACATGGACTGGAAAGAAAAAATAACTCTGATTGAGCTAATTTCTTCACTAGGTCAGCACACATAGCCAAAAGACATAGGAAATCCATGTGAAATTCTTCAATGCAAAGCTACATCAGGATGCTGTTATTTTTCTGCTTTTCATCTTAATTCTTTCTACATTCCCCAGAAGACATTATTTCCATTGTTTATGACACATTTCAATCTTGTAGAAAAGCAATGTTACTACTACATCTCAATTTATTTAAACAAAAATGAATTATGAATGAAGTAACACATGCTTATAACACACATTTACCTACAATTCATTATTTTTACTTCAATGTTATGCTATTTACCTCTTGAAATAATGGTTTCTAAGCCAGTCCCATTAATGAAGGCACGCTTGATGGTCTGTGTTTTCACATCAGTCCAGTACAAGCGTTCCTCAATGGCATCAAAATCTATGACCGTCACATCATCAATGTCAGGAACAGTGAAGGCTGTAATGAAGTTGAAGTATGGGTTTTCTATGTCCACCCCTCTTATCTCTGAACGTCTTGCATAAAGAAGAAATTTCTTCCTTTCTGTTAGAAAAAATGAAAACATCGCATCCTCGTCACAACATCGCTAACAGAACTCCAAGTCATTCATTCGAGATCACTTTACAAATGTGTAAATGACGTTTATGTGAGTTATTTAACATCCCCAGAAAATCTGCAGCCTAGTGACAACGGAGAAATAAAGTATGTTACAGAGCATAAAAATCACAGGAAAAACATATTAATTCTGGATACTGGACATGATGTTACTACACTATTAAATCAATATGGTCTTGTGAATGTCTAAGGAAAAATGTAAAAAATGATATTTTAAAAATTTTACCCCACTTATCCCAATCAAAAAAATACTGTGTCTTTTGCACATAACAGATATTAACATTTGGTATCTCAGGGGAAAAGTGTATCAGTGTAACAGGGAAGTTTTGCAAACACCAAAACTCAGGAGCAATTCTACAATGTGTATAAGCAGTGAAAGGCAAACAGGCAGAAGAAAAATAACAAGCCACAGAACACATTGATTGTTATAATTTAGACATCCACTAATGAAAAAGGGTGATTTTTTACTTCAGAAGTCTAAATTATTGGAGCAAATGTCCATGTATGAACTGTAAAGGTAACTTCCACCCCCACCATTATCCGTGATATAACAAAATACTTTTTTGTATTTCTTTAACATTACTAATCAATACTGAAAAGAGTAATGTAGTACAAAGTTTTACAGATAGACACAACTAGTTGACATTTTAAGCTACAAAAGTCCTCAAAGTGTTTATTGTATTTTTTTATAAAGTTACCCTGAAAGGTTGCATGTCTAATATTTGCTCTTAATTTCATTTTCTTAATCACTGAGAGTGAAACTTAATTTCACTTTCTTTAGAAGAAAGAAACATCTAAAGAAACATCTTTAGAAGAAAAGGTAGAGAATTAAGCTATTAAGTACCTTTTTGTTATTCAGCTTACCTGACTCATCATTTTCTGATGGTGTACTTTACAGTATAAATCTGTTTTGCAGAGATAAGTTTTACTAACATATCATACACATAAGCAACAGAAAAAATGGCTGTGGTAATAAATATCAAAGATCCACACACCTTGTATATTGAAATAAGTTATCAATTCTCAAAAAGTAGATAAGCTTTTAAAATATATCATTAAGATGCACTGTAAATACTGTTTTAAGTTTATGTATTATATTTGTCCAGTTCAAAATTCTAAAATCAATATAATTGTCAGGCTTTGGGAGGAAAACTTACCATAACATGTTTTCTTATCTAAAGACAGTTTCATCAGATGTGGACAGGCACATGCAGCACTTCTGTTGTGATTGATCAGACACATGTGAGAACATGGACCTCTGCCTTCATTAGCAGCACACGGATTGGAAGCTAAAATTGAATCATGAAATACACAAAATATAAAAACACCTTTTGGAACTAAGGTTTGTCAAACTAGCATAAGCTACACTGGTGAGAAAGTGGTGGATATTCTGTTTGAAGAAAAACCCAGCCTCACTGATTCACTGAGCTTGTACTTTAGTCACTTTTTCTAGGTTAACAGTCAACTCTTGTCCAAGTATGTATTTTTTATATTGTTTTCATTAGTATAGGCACAAAATTTATCATTGTAACTTCATGAAGCCACTGGAAAAAAATTTCCCAGTGACATATTAATTTTGCAGCCTATAACACTTAAATGTAAAGAATTGTACACTGCTAACCAGGACAAATGGCATTAAAAAAATTGTTAATACGATGAAGACCAGAACAACAAATTTTATTTTGTGAAGACTCAAAGCTTAGAGTATGTGATGAATTTTGGCAAATTCAATGTTCCCTCTCAACTTGATCTACCTACTAGAATATTAGTTGTAAATCTCACATGCAAAACTAATTTGAAAAAACATGTCTGATTATTTCTACTTTTCTCAAAGAAAAACCTCTCCTAAGTGTAGCTGTTTTCATGTAGCTTCCTATAGTTCACTGATTGAACTTGATGTGCTAAAATGGCTTTAAAGAGCAGAAAGCTGACCAGAGAAGACTTCTTAGTCTTACAAAACCTTGAAACTATTCTTATAATCTTCATTCATTATTATACACATACAGTTCCAGAGTGCTCCTGAAGAGACATTCCAAGCATAAACAGAAAGCAATGTTGATTTATCCATTTACTAAAAAAAACCTTGGAAAATCAATAGTGATGAAAAGAGAAGTGAGAATGACTCATAAAGACAAACTTATAATTAATAAAATCAATTAGTTTAGAATATATTCCTCCAATGGTATGTTAGCCTGCAATATAATTAGATAAGGAGAGAAATCTGATGTTTGAATTTCTTTGTGAAATAAATTTAGTTCAAACTCAAGCGCTAAAATTTGAAGACAAACTCAAGGTTTGCTTCATTGAACCACTTGTCTTTTTCATCAATGCATGCTTCCTTAAATCTATTCATCGACTCCTGAATCCTTTACTTACTTGTCTGAGCAGTTCTACACAAAGAATGCAACTTCCAAAACCTTGGATAAACAGGTTAATGAAATTCTATCCAGCATTTTCCATCATTCTATCAAAAACTCACACACTTTCAGAGTGTTCTGTAGAGTCATCCCATTTGCCCCTTTCAAACAGTGGCAGCACTGGAGGCCACTCAGCACTCTCCCAGCCTTTGCACATTCTCCCACTACTCTAAAGTTTATTTAAAAGATGCATCCCATATCCTCTCTGTCAGCTCTTCTAAACATCTGACAAAAAGTCAGCTGGGCCAATAAGCTTAAAAATATTTATTCTTAGTTAAGGACTTAATATCTTTGACAGCTAATGGACTGTAAATATCTTACTATCCTTACATGATGAATCTATTTGATTTTGTCTTTCCCAAAAATTACAATAGAGAAATGTTTATTTAACGTCATCACTCTTCTTGTATCTGTAGTAACAATGTGAAAAAATCTGGGGTGGTATATTTTAATAAGTTCACAACTTTGTGTGGAAGATAAGAAATGTGAAGCTGAGGAAAAGAGTCTGAAGTTAAGAAGGTTCCAGAGGTCCTTCAGGATAAGAATCCATTATTAATGGACTATTAATATTAGTAAATACAAGTCAGCTGTCTCTATGAACTACACATCAAAAATGAAACATAATCTAGGATTTTGACAGTATTGTGAAGGATATCACGGAGTCATTGAGGTTGTAAGGGATCTCAGGAGATCATCTAGTGATTCAACCTCCTGCATTTTTCTGCATTCTTAACACTGCTGCTGCGAGACTTAAAATTTAGTCATACATTTCGTAAAACAGTGTTTCCTTTAATTTATTTGCCAAAACAAAGCAGTAATTTCCATGGAACCTCAACCTCTTTACATGCATATCACCGTCTGTGGCAAGGATCTACTTAGGGCTCAAGAACAATAATCCCCATTTTGTCTTTCTGTGCAAGTAGTGCATTATGTTCTTCTCTACAAAAGTTGCTATTTGAGTATGAAATTCAAATAGAAGAACGTACAGAAGAAAAAATAAAAGGCATGCATGTTAATGATCATGCTAAAGAAAGTGTAGTGGTTAAAGTGTGCTACGAGCATCAACAAAGAGGAGACAGCTTGTGTACTATCGGTTCACATCACAATTCCCTTCATATATCACGGAATACAAAATTGGTAGAAAAAGAAGTGTTATAAAGCTATATTTCCACATGCAAACAGAATTTGAAGAGTAAACTACTATAATCTAAAATTGACTTATACCAGCACACATGTATATATTCCTTTCATATTCATACTGCTTTCACTGAAGAACAGCTAAGCCCATTCTTTATTTTCAAATAAAAACTAATTCTCTTGAAGGCAAATAGCTATGCTATTGCTTTGACTCTCAAAAATTTGGCTCTTTTCTTTCCTTGTGCTAGTTCTAACACTTCCTTCTATTTCTATCGTGAATAACCACATAACCATTCCTTATTCACCTTCTCCACGCCATTTATGATTTCACAGACTGCCATCATACAGAAGCCTGTCTGTAAGCTGCATTTCAAGAAGCATCAACTTACCTGTCGTCATACAAAAATCTTTTCCCATCCTCTTGATCAACCTGTCAAGTTTTCTCGGTATCTTTTATATGATCTGTATACAGTATTCAAGATATGGGAGTGCTATGGATTTATACAGCATCACAGTTCACTATCTGTGGTTCTTTATTCCTTTCCTAATCATTTCCACCAATCTATTTTTCTTTTGATCACAGCAACCCACAGAACTGGCATTTTCACCAACCGGCTAGCCTTTTGCATTATTTAATTGATTTCCACTGCTGATAGCTTGTCAATCTGTTTTTCTTACAGTACTGCGCACAGATATACATATGTCACTCTGTCATCTATTTCTTCTCGAGTGCTCTCTAAAACATTATTTAAACAAAATATTTATTTGTCTTGACCAGTAACCCTTTAAAAACCCTGTAGATACTCTACTAGCCATTGACAAATGAACAGTTACTCTGCCAACCTCTGGAATATGCATTCATTGTGGACCAACTTACCCTCCATATTAACTTCATATTGAACCTGTCCCTTCTTGGCATCAGATTTTAGCTAGGCAAAATTTTAATCTTATACTTTAATGGTAGACAACATGATGAAGTTCTGCCTACACCTTCAAATATATGCAGTTACATCAAAAGGATACCTTTAAATTGCTGACAATCTATTCCCACTCATATTTAAAACCAGTTACAGATCAAATCCTCTGCTCACTGTCAATATTTTCTGTAGTATTGCATTTCATAAGGCCAAAGACCTTTCTGCTGTACTCGGTCAAGCTAAAATCTTTATACTACATGATTATATGCTACAATAATCAGATATAATCTTTTTTTTTGCAAATTAGGACTGATCAGAGAATGCATTAGTTCTAAAATACATATTTATTGCCTATATTCGGTATTTCTACTTCAGTTTTTAATTATTCACTTGAAGAATGTCAGTATACTATCTTAAAAAAATTAAATATTCACCATGAAACAAAATAAACAAAAATATTATTATTGCAAAATTAGCACAATTCTTCATGATACTCTATTGTATACAGTATAATAGCTTTATGTTAATTCTGAAGCTCTTGTTAATGAATCTCTGTTTTCCACCCCTCCCAGTGTACAGTTTGAGATGAAGAGGTAAAATTGTAATTAATGATATAATTCCAAAACCTTAAAAAAGCATCTGCCTAGTATGTCAGTATAAGAAGCACAGCTATAAAAGAATAAGAAATATTGTAATGCTAGGGTATTACCATGTGGTAAGGCCAAAGGCAATAGTACTTTTAGGAGCAGGTGCTATGCTTTATAGAAAACTTCCAAAAAAAAATCAGAAATTTACTGTTAAAGTAAGGAAGAAAAAAAGAGTGACAAATTATTAAATTAAATCCAAGTGTGAAAAGCTACATGACAGTTACATGACAAAGTGACTAGGGAAAAAAAAAATCTCATAAAATTCAATACATGTATAGTAATACAGAAGAAAAAACCCAACAATCTCAAGTTACAGTCATGAAGATGAGCACTGAAATAGCATCCATTCCTAAAAGATCCTTTTCTGAAGCAATAGATTATATTTATACTTATGAAATGTCTGTTCAATACCCCTCTTATTACAAGGCTGAGGATACATAGAACAAAATTATCAAGTATTAGGGTCAAAACAAGCAAGACAAGGTCCTCTCTCACACAGGGCACAGTTATGCACCAGAGCCATCTGCCAAAAAGTTCTAGACACTTGTTTGTGTAAGTTCCAAAGTCAACAAGAAAAGTTCATGCAAGAAGAATCAGTCAAAGGCTTTAATGCCTTTAAAGCACAAAGATACCCATTTAGGTTAAAAAAAAAAAAAAAAAAAATAATCAAGGAGTAACAGGTTACTGGAACCTGATGGGCTATATAGGAGGAGCACGGCTGTAATCTTCGCCCAGTTCCCTACTTTCCTGTAGGCACTGATCAGCCATTGTCAAAGACAGGATGCTGAGTTAAGACAAAGGTAGGAAGGACTGCTTTTATAGTTCCTAAAACAAAATTGGAACCTTCACAAGGCACAAAGGAACCCAATTTAAAGTTCAGAGAGATTGTGCATATTTTGCATGATACGTATACCAATCTTGCTGCTGGTTTTAAAGTAAAAAGAATGTACACGAGAAGGTTGTGATAAAATCTCAAACTAATAAAATTTGTACAATCTCCCAAAATGAAACAGCCAAAACTTTGCTCACGTGCATCTTAAGCTACATTTCTGTAAAAACTTATTTATTTTAAACAGCTGGCAATCCAGGCCGCAACAGAATATTGTAACAAACTAGTGCTATGAAGTTAAATGTTTTTCATGTTTTAATTACAAAAGAGTCCAGTGGTACC